TTTCTGCTAAGCAAAAATCTGAAATGAAAATGATTTGTTTAGGTCTGTTTTTTTATGCAAGTCTGTTACCTAGACTAGCATTATTAGTTTCTTTAAATAACTAAATTGTAACACCACAAGGTGACTAAAAGCAAGAAAAGCTTTTTAGCAAATAAATTTATGAGAAATTGTGTAAATTACCATCTCACCTTGGGAACCTAGCAACTAAGTTTTAAAGAGTTCTAATATATAACTTTGATTTTAAAATTTGTATTGAGCACCTTGCATGTGCCAGACGCTGCTCAAAGCCTTGGAAGTAGAGCAGCGAATGGAACCAGTGAACATCGTGCCAAGCTTGTGGTTTGAAAGGGGAAGATTCATAAACAGATCAGTTATAAGGTGTATGGGGTCAGGTCATCCTATGTGCTATGAAGAATAAAGAAGGAGGAGATAGGGTCAGGTGTGCTGGGGAGGCAGCGGGCCAGCCTTCTAAGGTGTTGTTGGTGAGGCAATGTTGGATTGGAGACCTACAGTAAGAGAAAAACACACAAGCGTCCAGAGGAAGAGCATCCAGGCAAAAGGAGGAAGCCACTAGCAAAGCCCCAAGGGGGAAGCATGCCTCTTGACTGCAAGGGCCAGTTGGGAACCACGGGACTGAGCCATCTGTGGCGAGAGCAGTGGGAGTGGAATTCAGATGGCAGTGGGACCATGGTGAGGACATGGCTCTCTCTGAATAAGATGGCAAGCATGAGAGGCTTCTGGGTAAGAAAGAAACATGGTCCAACCGAAAGAATCCTATAGCTCTTTCCAGAGAAAAGGGTAGGACGGGGTAGCCAGTTAAAAAATCTCTGTAGTGTTCCAGGTGAGAGAAGACAGTGGCACAGGCCAGGCTATGTGGGGAGGTCTGAGAGGAAGATAGAAGAGAGCTGTGTGGGCTGCTCTGAAAGCAGATCATTATCCGTGATTGGCAGCGCTGCTCTGACTGGTTTTTCCTAACTGGCACTTTCTTTGAGCTCTTCAAATTCTATACTTTTGAAACACCACACTAGGAGCTACAGCTTATTGACGCTCATGTCTCTTCATTATCCTTCCTGGCTTCACGGGCTTCTTTATTCAGCTTGGATTTCCTAATCCTGTCTTAATTCCTTGCACAGCTCTACTTTAGGGGTGTTTTCGGCCTCCCCTAGCTCCACCAAAGTATCTTTCATTACAACTTTCTGCCTGCTCCGTGCCAATCTCCAGATAACTGAGCGTCGCCAGTGAGACCCTCACCAATGCACGTGCTCTGACCGAGGAGACCCTCTGTGCTTCGCGGCAGTGCTCCTGCATTTGCCAGGTGCATTCCTTTTCCTTCCTGTGGTACACCTGCCCTTCGTTGATTATCCAATGCCTCCACTTCCATCCTCCTCATGGGCTTCCTCCTCCACTGTGAAAATCCCCGTAACCAGAAAATACCTTCCTTGTATTCCCGTGGTCACAGCCTCCCACCCTCCTGAATCTGTGCCCCTGTTCTTTACTGTTGCTGGGGTTTCATTTGCTTCTGAGACAAACTCTTTCACTTTTGTGCTAAGCTTTCCCCTCTCACCTAGTGGAAATGGCCCTGTAGCTATGGTTCCTCCTTTTTTTTCTTAAAATCAAACCAACACCAAGTTGCATTCCCCATATTAAAAAAAAAAAAAAAAAAATCCTTCTTTGTACCCTAGTCCTTGTCAGCTAACCACTGTAATACTTGGCTCCCCTGACAGCAACCATCTGTAAGAGTTCCCTGTGCTCACAGTCACTGTCACACCTTATCTCCCCTGATGTTTATTGATAAAAATTAAAAAAAAAAAACCCTCACCACAGTTAAACTATAATGTCCACGATTGCCTGGAGCTGCTGCTAAGCTTATCAGTGACTTCCATGTTGCTAAACAGAATGACACTTCCTCGTCTTCATTCGATTTGCCTTCGCAGCAGCATTTGATACAAGTGATCACTGCTTCCATCCTGAGATTTCTTTCTTTCTTCATTTGACAGCCAGGACACCTACTTGATCATGCTGGTTTTGGTCCTGCCTTGCTGACCCAATGTCCTTAGTCTCCCCTGCTGATACTTTTCAGTTCCATAAAACACTGTTCTTGATCTAAGCTCCTTTTGAGGGTAATTCCACTAAGACTCATAATTTTAAATATCAGTTGTGTATTGGAAAATAGAAGTATGATAAATTTAAAGATTCTAGTTGACTCTCCTGATAGTCTAGAATCAGGCGATACTTCTATCAAGTAGATTAAGTGTTTTGATGAGCTTGGTTGGCCAGAAAAGGGCTGGAGAAGACATAAACAAAGAACAAAAAGTAGATTGGTGATTTAAGTTTACTTTCTGTGTAAGACAGGAATTGACAATAGAAAAATACCTGATTGCTTAAGGTGAAGTTAACTTCAGATTCAGGACTAATGTAGAGGGCTGGTGAGACAGATCAGTGGACTAAGCACCTGCTCAGGCAAGCACAGGGACCAGGGTCTGATTCCTGACACCACATGCAGCGCCAGCCCCGCCCCCGGGCGTGCCAAGCCAGCCACTGGATCTGGGCCTGGAGCCATACACCTGTAATCCCAGCACTGGAGAGGCTGAAGACAAGAGGATCACTATGAGTCTGAACTGTGTAGAGAGAAACTGTGCCAAATTCATTACAAATAAATTAATTAATTAATAGAGAAAACTTTATTTTCATACCCACTAAAACTGGCCTGTTTGGGAATTTAGCTACTATCTCTTTTCTGATTTATCAGGAGGTTACACAGCAACTTTGTTTGATTTGGTGTCATGAAACTTCAGTATTTGTGAATCTATGTGGTGTTTTAGCCTGGTCTATGGGGCCTGGTATAGGTACTTGATGTATCTCAGATGGGTATTAAATGAAGAGTAGGTCTGAAACATGAAGGAAAGTGAATGAACTCTGTGCCTATAATTTTTGCTTAATATCGATGACCCACAAATACATAGCTCTATCTCCTCTGCCTAGAATGATTGACAGATATATTCAACAACCTGCTCCTTGCATGACATTGAAAGCTCTTATATATCCAAACTTGAAGTCCTGATTTTCTTGCGTTAAATGTGTGTCCCTTGCGTTTTCCTTAGTAAATAGCATTTTTAAACACTTTAGTTGTACAGTTGATAATTTTAGGGTCATCATATATTAGTCAAAATGTGATCACTGTGACAAAATGCCTGAGATATGCTTTGGAAAGAGTAACGATGTATTTGGGCTCATAGTTTCAGAGGTTGCAGTCCATGGCTGCTTGGTTCCATTGCTTTGGGCCTGTGGTGAGGCTGAACATGCAACTGGGTGTGTGATAGAACAGAACTGCTCTCTGCATGGTGGCCTGGAAGTAAACAAGATAGAGAGAAGAAAGGACCAGAGTTTTAATATCCCCTTTGAGGTTGCATATACCCAGTGACCTAACATCCTTTTGTTGGACTCTACCTCCTAAAGGTTCCACTATTTACCAATAATGCTGTCACATGGGGAGAAAGCCTTCAGCCCTTGATATTTTGAGGGACACTTAACTTTTCTTTTTCTTTTGTGCCCTAGACCCAATTCATAAGCAAATGATGCCAATTTTTTGTCTGAGAACTGGCCACTTGTCGCCCATTGTTCATGTACCTGAATGATCTCAATAATTTTATCCTTTGAAACTTGCTTAGTTTTTTAGAAACACCTACAAGTTGGAGCATTTCATTACTATGGTTTGCAATAAGAATTAATATAATTCACATTTACTCAAGTATAAAAAATAAGCAATGGCTTTTATGAGTGATTTATAAGTGACCCTGAAAACCAATCCTAAAATAATGGTTTCAAAAATGATTTGTTCTAGAACAGGATTAATGGGATGAATATTTAACTCACCAAATTATTGCTTCCAAGGATAAAGTTCATTTGGTTTTATAGGTTCTGGATTATTGTTGAAAATTTATCTCTGTCCTTTAAAATCACAGTTTGTGTTAAGATCTCATGAATAATAGAAAAACATGTTTATTATACCATAAAGCTGACTGGCTCTGGAACTGTCTGAGGTCAGTACCAGTTCCATCAGTTTCTGGCTATGCTATTGCACACAGATTTCCTGTGCCTTAGCATTTTCAACTGTATAATGGGGGAACAATGACAGTGTCTCCCCAGCGTTTTCTCTGTAGTATCTAATAAGATCATACATTTAAAATGCTTAGGATTGTGACTGCCACAGGGTAAAAGAGGAATTGTGCTGAGAGTAAAAGAATTATGTGATAGAAAGTTTATCCCTAGGAGCCCTCTAGGAACTTGAGCCCTAGATGCTGTAAAGTTTCAGGAATTGTTCAAGACAACCCTAAAGGAGACAACTTTAGGCAACATGTATTAACTATCTACAAAGTAAGAGAGCCAGCCAACAAATGCCTTAGATGGTCAGAGATCATTTCTATCCACAGCAGTTAAAAATAATTAGATGAAAATTTATTTTTAAATACCCAATTTCAATTTCAATAAGATTGAAGTCTCTACCCATAAAGGTCCAATTTTGACTTCCTAAGACACAGAAGTGTAGCAGTTTAATACTAACGCAGAGCTTTGATTAGACGCATAAGCGAAACCTTGGGAAATGTAGAGCTATCTGTGTATCCAGGAAGCCACACTTTCTACTGTTTCCACTACCCACAGATCTGTGGCGCTGTTGATCAAGTTGTATCCTCTGTGCATGTAGTTTAAATTTATTATAGGAAATACCATTTATATCTACATCCCCTGAGCATTTCTTCTTCCTGACATAATCTCATATTTATTGAAAATATAACTTTAATCAAAACTATTAATGACTGACTTGTATGACTTGAGTATTTAGGCCTATCCAAGGTAGACATATGTTCTTGAGCTACAATTTGATTGTCATTAACCGCAGGACTCTGAAGCTATGTGTACAAATGGGCGACATAATTTCAGAGTCTGACCCTAAGAAAGGAATTGAAGACCTAAACCCTTTCTCCCTTTCTTTCCCTCTGCAGTTGGCCCGACACAACAAACTGCTGCAACAGATGCTCAAACCAGGATCCGATCCAGAAGAAGGAGATGAAGCGCTGAGGTATTACGCCAACCACACTGCGCAGATCGAGGTAACCAGCCAATCCTTGAAAGGGGCCAAATGGAAAATGTATGCCTGCTTTCTACTTGAGACCATTGTCATTATTTTTATTTCTTAAAGCATTTAAACCAGCACTGAGTGATTTAAATTGGAAAGCACTGTGCATGCTAGAAGATGATCTGTAAGAAAACGAGGTGCACATCTTTCAAAGTTGTCTTTTTTTTTTCCTCACCAGACTATGGGTAAATTTAAAAATAAAACTAATAGGGCCAGGAAGATAGCTCAGTGGCATAAGTGCCTGCCTGGCAAGAGTTCAATCTCTGGTACCAAAAAAATAAATAAATAATAAAACTAATAGAGTAATCTCATTGCCATTGTTTTGGCCCTAGAAATGATTGTTCTAGAATTGTAATGTTTAAAGACAAGAAATTATTATAGAAGCCCTCATTCAAGAAATGTTTATTTTTACCAAAAAATTGTGGAAGGCTTGTTCTGATTGAGCTCTCTGTGTGCCTTAAGTACTCAAAAGGAGAGGGAGTAGGATATGGTGAGAGGAAAAGAGAGATGAAGGGGAGGGAAAGAGAGACAAAAAAGTTGAGACGTGTTCTACACATATACCAGTTCCCCACCGTGAGGATAATCATTATGTACTGCAAACATGTACTCTTTGAAAAGAGGAAAAAAGAGATGAAAGCTTAGACAACACAGAAGGCACTGGTGAATTCCTCTAATTGACATCATAAACTTGGGGTACTTTAGTGGTTTCTGTTTTTAATATGTAGCAATTAACTCCTTCACCCCACAAATGAGGAATTGTTCAGTGGACAGGGCCAGTTCAGGAGGTGGGTGTCAAGATGGACTTATCCTTGTGCATTGGGAGACCCATCTGGCTGTCACCTACTAGCTGTAGTATCACTTTGACACTACTTTGCAGGACTAATCAGGCAGAGCCAAACAGAGTATGTGATGCTTGTCAGTGCTGATTTACCTTCATAACTACATTCATTCATTGTGGCAGATATTTTTTAGTTTTCAATAGGACAAAGGGTGGACATCAGTACTCTATGACTGTGCTTTACTGTGTCCCTTGCCAGAGCTTTGGCATAATGTGCATTATCATCACCTTAGGTCATGAAGTGAAAGCCTTCCTCCTGTTTATAAGAACTTACAGCACTGCAGCTTTGGTGTCAGACGTGGCCTAACTGAACCCAGGACCAGACCAGCAGCCAGCGCTGTTCGGTGCATTGTTTGCGTGGGAACTGGGAAGCACAATAGTCAGGAGGCCTGAGGAATTAATCCAAATAGGTCATGGGCCATGGGGATCCTAGCGAAGGTCCTAGGGAAGACCCCAAGTACAAAGCTAGGACGCCAGAAGAGAGCAGGGGGTAAGTAGCAGGGAGAGTGGGCCGGATTCGGGTGTAGTTAATGCCCGAGAGGTGGAGGCTGCTGTCTGTGATTTTATTGATTTTCTATCTGTGGAGAGAGATATAGCTGTAACTACACACACGCAGTTAATATTTACTGGACACTCGCTCTCAAACAGTTCACACTGAAGAGGAGAACTCTGTACAGTAACTGTTTGAAAAAGGCCAAGGAAATGTGGAGAAAACAGTGATTAATGTTCCTTGGGGCATTTCAGGGTACATGTTCATAGACACGAGTGCCCTGAAGAGCATAGGAAAGATTTAATACAAATTTAACTAAAAGGCTTCAGATAGAAGGAAGAAATACAAAGAAGAATGACTCAGCATAGGAAAGGAACAACTGTTAGGAAAGCAGCTCTGCTTCCTGGCTAGATGGGAAAATATAGCTACATAAGGACACCTATATCGTATTCATAATACATACACATACAGGGCAGGGCTTAAAGTCAGGTTGTGCATCCATTTTAGTCAACTTTGATGTTATTGTAACAAAATGCCTGTGATGATTAACTTATAAAGACAGAAGGTCCCATTGGAATATGGGCAGCTGCATTTGTATGTCCCTTGTCCTGAGTTAGACAGGGATCAGCCTCCATTATCTTTGTATTTCCAAAACTGACCGGCGTATCTGAAAGATCACTACAGGATTGATATTAGTGAAAACAGTAGCTTCTCTGTAAGGTAGAAGCTTCACAAGCATGTAAACAGAAAGGGCCTCCGTTCTGGTCAGCCATCCAAGGAGGCGTTTCCCTGGAAGGATCTCACTTCTCCCTTAAACTCTACTGATAGACATCTCACTTCTTCAGAAGGAAAACAACTGAACTGGGAGCAGTTCTAGTCATTAGTAGAAACGCAGCTTTGCACACAGAGTTCCCACAGCCCGTTTCACTGTTCACTCCTGCTCATTTGCTCCCCTCCCGAGAGGAAGGCTTTCACAATTAAAGAACTTAGCATGGTCGCTAAGTTTCAAGCTTTTACTGATTAGGGCTTGGGTTGTGTTTTTCCCTTGGAATTCCCCTAAGTGTCTCACCTACAAATCAACGTTTGTTGCATCATGTGTGTGTATGAACCCTAGTTGGCTTGTTGCCATGAGCAGATTCCCATGTCCTTTGTGGAACCCCTCAGTTTGTCAGTGCCCTTTGTAAAATGTGACCACCAGAGTTGAACATGACATTTCATGAAGGGACTGAATAGCTTCACTTATCGTAATCAGGGGTCTGCGTCGTTCATGTACCCTGAGTAGTTCTGTTCATATCTGACCCTGTTGGCTTAAGCAGACTTTTTATCAGATTTTTGTCTGGTTGCCTATCAGACCCACTATCCCAATTACTTTATGTAAGTCATTTTTTAAACTTCTTTGTAAGAATTTTTATTTAACACTATATGAAATTTTATTTTGTTTAGGTCAATTTTTTTATTTATAGTTTGGATACGTAACAGATTATTTAGAATTCTATCAGTTACGAATTTATTTTATTTATTTATTTTTTTCCCATAATTTTATTGAGAAACAAATAGCAATGAGACAGTTTCAAACCAAATTGGTAGGACAGTTTCAATAACTAACATACTGCATACATTCTTCCTAGTGGTTAATTGCTGTACAAGATGCGGACATGATATCCTATTTACAAACACCATTAGAACAAATCCCTCTATTCATTAAGAGAATGTAACTATATATCTATCCTAACCACTTTGAATACACAGATACAAAATGGACATTCATCTGTATCCCCTTTTTGTGTTAAGTTCCTTTATTTGAATATTATAGTTGTGTAAACACAGCAAAATATTCTAAAAGAGTCCAGTAGTCCATAATAGTATTGGGTCTTCTGCTTCACTGGCAATGTCAGAAATTGTTGACCTGAGTCCCCTATAGCTCAACATAACAGCATGGCTTTACTTCTTATACTTTGTTTTTATACTTTTCTGCTGGATGGTTAAGACCAAGGTAAAGCAGGACCTGTGCAACAAGAGTTGTAGCTTTTGGGTCTGCTAAGGTCAGTGAAATCCCCTCAGGATTTATCCTGAGATCCTGTACCTCAGATTGTAGAACCTTTGTCAGTGTCAGCCATGTGGATAAGTCATGGCCATTACTTGGCCAATGTGCTCTCTGAGTTACAAATTTAACAAAGTAGCAGACTGACAATTATTCAAAGAATAAGTGTCTGTTATCTTACAGGTAGTCCAGAGGTACCAGTAGTTCTATAATTCATTCAGCGATGTCTGTAAACATCTTTCTATTTGATTCCTAATCATGTTGGAGATATCTCACCTCAGGGTTGCAAAATGGCTGCCAGAAGTTCAGGCATCATGCCTTTATACTGCCATTTATTCTGAGCAAGCAGAAAGAGGGTACAGGAAAAAAAGAACATTTGTTTTTGTGTATTGAGTTTTTGTTATTGCTTTTTTTCTTTTTTTTTGTATTTTAGGGAAGGGTCTACAGGGTGTTCAGGGTCTCACTATTAGATTGATCTTGTAGTGATTCTCCTGTTTACAGCCTCCCAAGTGGTGGGATTACAGGCGTGCACCACCGTGCCCAGTCTCAATCACCATCTCAGTGCCTCCCAGGGGTGGGGCTGGCATAGCAGGCCTAGGGATCGAATCCCCAGCCCCTGTGCCTGCGTGCAGGCGCTTTAATCCACTGAGCTATTTGGCCAGCCCTGCTATTGCTCTTATTGATCTTTCAAGGCTCTCTGCCTTTATGAGGATTACAATATTGTCTGGAAGCTTTTTCTCTTGACTTCTGCCCCAAGAGATTTTTTTTCTTATGCTGTTTTGCTAGAACTACATCACATGCCCACCACTACATCAGTCAAGGGTGAAAGAAAGTCAGATCACTCCTCTGGGTTACAGCAGTCCTTAGAGACTGAGGGGGACCTTGAAATTTAGGCTTTCAGCCCTTGTGATGTAGGAAGCTATATGAAAATACCCAGCCTATTTTGCCTAATGTTAAATGGCTGTGAATATTAAATACAGGAGGCTGAAGATAATAGTATTATGAGTTTATGTTTAAGTGAATGTTATTCCTACAAGCATGTTGTGGTATGAATAAAACTTTTAATGATGTGGAACACCTTACTCTTAGATTTGGGGTACATGGTGCTGAGTGTGTCACTCATTACCCAGAGGCCTTTGTAAGAAGAACAGAGTAAGAACAGGATACCAGTAAGTGTTCGCTTTAAGAGTTCTCTGTTGGCCACTTGCTAAATAAGACCAGCGTAGGTCTCTGATATACCTCATGAACATGAAAATAAGTGGTAAAAGTCTAATGCTAATCCAGAAAGAATGAATGATTTAAAGTTTTCTTCTTTATAACCAGGTATGGTGTTTATGAAATACTCATCAATTAGTATTTCTTATGTAGAGAAAAAAAATGCAAAGTAGGATAGTAGGCTGTTGTTTTAGGTATTTCAACATGGCAGTTTTTTGGTAATAGGATAGATAG